ACAAGGGTTTTTGCTGGTTGAGATAAGGATAGCTATACAGGGCATTGACTCACATTGATTTCCTGTGCGTGGGTGTTACCTTCTAGGTTAATTCTCATTGGCTATATTTATGTGGGTCTATTTCTGGGTTCTCTGTTCTGTTCCACTGATCTATTTGCATATTCTTTGGCCAATACTTCATTGTCCTTATTACTGTAACTTTATAGTAAGTGCTTAGTTGGGTAGTGTAAGTCCTCCAACTTTCATTTCTTTCAATATTTTGTTGACTATTCTAGGTCTTTCACCTTTCCATATAAAATATAAAATAAGTTTGTTGATATCCATAACCTAGCTTTCTGGGATTTTGACCAGGATTGAACTGATTCTCTATACAAGGTGGGAAGAACTGATATCCTGAAAACAATGATTCCATGTCTTTTTCCATTAACATGGAATATCTCTCCCTTGATTTTGAATCTAAAGCAATGTAGAATAATTTTCTAATAAACACAACTTTTTTGTTTTGGTAGTTCAACATTTCACTTTAACCTTTGGACATTTGACTTTCAAATTGAGATGTACTCTATTTATGCACACTGTACATGTACTCTGTATAAGTATGCACAAGAGGGGCTGGAGATGTAGCTCAGTGATAAAGTGCTTTTCTGGCATTGCAAGCCCCTGGGTTCAATTCCCAGCACTGCAAAAAGAAATAAGTAATGCACACCAGATTTTAAAGATTTCAAACAAAAAAATAGAATATTTCTTTAATTTTTTTGATTATATATTGCAATAACAATTGACATGTGTTGGGCTAAAATATATTACTAAAGGAACAAGCAATTCAGGGTAACTTGAATCCATGTTCCTGGGCCATGGTCACTCACATTTGGTTCAGAATAAGCTATTTTCTTATGTCCTTTAAAGTAGATTTAAAAAAAAAAAAGCAGTTATTTTAGATCAACAATTTTGGCACACAAATGTGGTGTCCTTAAGACAATCTACCTTCACCAGAGGAGTCACCTGGATTGACACCAGATGCCAGCACAGGCCCACTGTGCCCACTGACTGGATCACATCCTCAGATGGATGTTGGGGAGTCCCCCCCAGGGACCTGGATCTCCCATGGTTTGATTGATGGTCCTTGGTTTACTATGAATTGGTTAATTTACATATCCTTTGTTGTTTCAGAACCTTTGTCAGAACATTTGTTTGCTAGCATTTCATCTTTGTTTCCTGCTGCTCCATCTTTATCTAAATTTGACTTTTTGCTTTTTTTTGTCTCTTTCTCCTGATCATTGCAACCTTGCCATTCTTAGTACAGTAATTCTGTGAACATGTCTTTGTAAGTGCCAAAGAAAACAGGCACTTGTTCAGTCCAATCTAACAGGGTGGAAATGTCAGGGGTTAACTCTTCAGGATGTGCAATGGCCTCAGAGCAAAGTTCCCAAAAACATACTCATTCCTGGGACACAGAAATTTTATTAGCTCTGGGAAGACTCACATAAGAAGTGATCACTCTCACATGCATTCCATAAATGTGCAGGATAAACCCAAGAATCAGTGAAGGGAATGGGCCTTGGAGTAAAAGCTGAGGGAGCTACATCCATAAACCATATAAACCAATCCAAAACACAAATCCATCAGTTTGCATAGAAGGGTGCAAATTTTGGGGCCAAGGGGAGCCTCTGCTAAAATGGGAAAAACAAATTCAAGGAAGGAGAAAGTGTTTAGGGAAGAAATCAACATTTGGTACTCCAGCAGGATTTATGTGTGGTAATTTTGGCACATCAACTTGCACACACTTAGAAAAATGATCCTTAAAACCCAAAAATATGTATTATTAAATTAACTTCACCTTTATGTGTGTGTTTGTGTGTGTGTGTGTGTGATGGGTTTTTTTGAGTTGGGTCTCATGGACTTGTTTGCCCGGGTTGGCTTCGAACTGTGATCCTCCTGACTATCTAGGATTACAGGAGTGAGCCACTGACACCTGGCCTTTTTTTTTTACTTTTTAATGTAGCTACTAGACAATGTTAGTTTATGTACATGGCTCACATTCTATTTAGATCAGAAAGCATTGCTTTAGAAGTATGTAGTAAGAAACAGGCTTGGACGGCATTTCATGGGTAAACTAGTCCTGGGAGAGAGAGACACAGAGAAGGTAATATGGCAGGAATTAAAGCAACCAAGAAAAAGCTCCGTCACTTCAAGAAGGATATGATTAAATGTACAGTTTAATAAAATAATGAAGTGTCCAAGGAGGCAAATAATGACTTCATGGAATAGTTTCACTAATTGCGCAGACTAAAATCAGATTGCAAAAAGACACATTAAGGTGCAACTAAAAAACTAAACTAAAATTAAAATATTAGTCAACAAAATATATCAACAAAAGAACATTGCTCTAAAAAATACATTTATTACTTTATAAATGTTTTCTCTTTAAACTATACTTCACTTAAACAATAAAGTATTGAGGTATAAATAAACAGCAACTTGTAAAATGTACTGTTCATAAGACACTGTATCAAACTTTAACATGCAAGGTATCTAAACTCAAAATCTCAACTCCAGCTCATCCAGACCTATATATTCTAAGACAGCCCCCCAAAACTGATGTAAAATTAATTTTACCCAAGTTCATGTGTTATAAAGATCACTGGCTATCTCAATGATGTTATTGTTTACAAATTCTAACTAATCCCTGCTAAGATGATCCAAAACTAACTCCAGCCCTATAAACCATTCCCTAATTCCTCGCATTCGACAAGCCCAGCTGTTCCCTTTATGTGTTGTGCCCTAATATAGATAACTGCGTGAACAAAGGTGTGCTCCTGGAGGTCTTTATATTGCAGACCTTAATAGGTTTAGGTCCTACTGAGATCTTTGTCATCCTAACCCGAACCTTCAACTTGATAATCATATATGCACACATCTGAAGTCCTTTTAGTTTCTATCTGCTTAAAGTCACGCTTTGTGCTGAACTGAATTCCAATTATTTCAGAATCCCTTTCTCGTTACAATAATGGTAACCACATTCTATACTCAACTGCCTAGTAACACTACCAGTATTAAATAAAAGCTCATCATGTTAATCATAACAATTTTAAACAAAATAAAGATGCACAAATCTGCAGATACAAAAACTGATAGCCAGCCTGTCTTAACTGATAAAACTTACTAATCTTAATACTCCCTGAAAATAATTTTTCCATATCTAAATATTTGAAATGTGTTTCACAATTTCCTCAATTTTGAGATAGTTGATTTAAAGTTAACTATTCTATCTGTGAAAATAAATGAAAGATGACAAATGAAATGGCGACTTGGCATACTACTTTTACAAACAGGCTTTATGTCCATGCTATTTTGAAACCTGATTTTTCTATTTAATATATATCCAAGGCATTTTTGATTATCAAAGATAATTTTATAAGATTTTTATTTTATAAAAACCTATTAAAAATGTTGCTTTACTATAAGTATGTTTATAAAATTCTAATAATTCCTTTATTGTTTAATATTATTAAGATTTATCACAAGTCTACAGCAGAAAAATAAAGATTAGATAAATTCTAAAAAAAAAAAACCAAAGAACAAACAGGCTTTATTTTTAAGCAAAAATGAATTAATAGCTAAATAATGTGTGCCTCTGAATAGTATTTCACAATTAAGACAGGAATTAAAGTGATTAATAATGAACATATTTTCATTTTTCAGTGTTTCTGTGGTGGTACTGGGGTTTGAACTCAGGGTTTTACACTTGCCAGGAAGGTGCTCCACCACTTAACCCATATCTCCAGCCTCAATGTTCCTAATTTTTATAAAGATTTTAACTAAGTTTCACAGTCACTAAGCAGTTTTAAAACTTAGGCTTCATAATCCTTTCCCTTCAGGATTTTAAATAGTCATTTATCTTCAAAACATGACAAATTTCAAAATCCATTAAAAATCATTTTATTCAAATTATGTTTTCCAAAAGAGAGGGTTCTGTGCTAGTCGTCTTTGAAAGTTTTCATACCTAGAAAAGAAAACCACACATTTATATTTAACGAAAATTGAAATTAAATCTTTCATAATTACAAATCAACTCATCAGAAATAATTTTACATGTCATTCCTAAAAAGCAAAGACAAGAAAGCTAATCTGGAAATCCAGTCTTATAGACAAAGCAAGCATGGTAATTTAAGGATGGGAGGATTTTTGATTAGCTTTCATCAGAGAGCACAAATTATATAAATTTTAACTATCTTCTGCAAATTTGATTTTGGAAAAAAAAAATTTAAATCAAACTCCTCCTCCCTCATTTCATACATGAACAGATGAGAAAAATTTGTTCAAAGTCTCTGGGCTACACTGTGACAAAGCTAAAACCTAGTTTATTGCAGTGCTCCCATGCTACAGAAAGGAACCACTTCTCAACAAAAACTTCCTAAATATCTCCCCACCACTGGGGTAGTCAAAACGAAAATGCCTACAAAACAAAAAACATGGGGAAGTCAGGGAAATGGATTTATTAGTTGTTCATGTTCAGGATGCAGTACAAATCACTGTGATGCCTAATATATGTTTACTTTTAATCAAGACTTTTCAAACTTAAGGGAAAATGGATTTGATGATATTTCAAGTCTCAGATATAGTACTTCTAATCCAAATTGTACAAAAAATGTCTAACTCCTAATAGTGGTCCCTAAAACATAGGCAATTATATTTTATTCATAATTCATAACAGGTCCTCTACAACAGAGTATTTAGGGTCCACACCATTGTAACCTGAACTGTACAATGTTTTATGTTGATGTCCATAATAAAATATGTTTAAATGTCAAAGAAGAAACACATTCACAGGTAAAATATCCATACATTTACTAAAAATCTTAACGTTAGAAATAAAACGCCTCATACCATTTCAAAACCACATTTGCTGGAATGAACATTTCAGATGGACTTGGTGTCATCTGGGCCTGTGAGACAGCAAATGATGAAGCAAAATTGTAGAAGTTGTCCAACATCTTTTGTGTGAACTGAAGAGTTAATAATAATTAACAGATTAGTGAGTTATATTAAATACTTGATTTAGACCTCAATATTTTTAATTTAAAAATTCCTTTATTAGCTTGGTTTTAAGGATTGCAAGTTCTAAGACAGCAGTGTAATGCTGAATAGGGTCGTCATAAGATGACACTGTAGCAAGTTACTCATCTTAGAGAAAAAAAGGAAAAAATTTTCCTTCAAACTTTTTCTTTACTCTCTACATCTATATAAGCTTCCTCTACCACCACTGTCCTGTAATCAGTCTGTTTTCTCACTAAAATAAATAAAATAACCATCTGTAAGCAGCTTTTTCTTTATAGGTAATATAGGAGCTTAAATATTAATATAGGAGCTA